CCCTCAAAGTAGTTGCTGTTATTATCCTTGTAGGACGTGTTACTGTCCTTAAAGACAAATACAGCAACCATCAAAATCCACCATTGATGATTCCAAACTATCTTGCGATTCAATATATGTTCAATACAATAGTATGTAGATCACAAGTGAACTAAGAGGGTAGAGCTAAGTATAATCAAAGTTTGAATAATACTTTTTTTAGACGACCAAAAATGTTATAATTAACTTTAACGGATTGAAAACACACTGTGTTTCATGGTAATCTGTTCAATAGCTGAGGAGACATTTCAGTCTGCATCAAAGTGTTGGACCAACAGACTGTGTGACCATCTGACAATGCTATCCCTATCCCACACAGCTGTTCTGGCTAGAAATAGGTTGAGTGCTTTAGTTTCACCAAAACCAGAAATGAATGAAAACTCAACCTTTCGCATAACAGCCCATACAGCATTATGTCTCCCTATCACCCTGGGACTGAAGTAGTAATTTAAGAGTAATTAGGTTATTAGCAGCTATTTCCATGGCTAGATATCACTAGGGGTAAGTGGGGACATAAAGATAAGTCGGAAAATGTGTTTTTGTAATTTGGGTGAACTGCCATTTTATGCTTAATATCGACTCAGACAAGTGCAGCCCAACACTTAGAATCCTGCAGTCACGTCCTCAAAGTATCATTTCATCAAAACGATTTATTGAGCATAGAATAAGTTCTTAGTTATCATAAAGTATACACAATTTTGACCTACTCACTTTCTGGTAAACACTTCTTTTGTTGCGTCAGTTCCCAAGCATCTTCTTCGACATGTCAGCTAGAATAAGTGCCAACACTGTTCACAGACTATTTGACACCAGTCTGACCTAAGCTGGCAGTCCTGTGGCTTGAGGTAAATAACAAATGTCACGGCTGAAGTACGTCTGTGGGATGACTCAGTTTGGCTTATGTAAGAGTCGATTAGAGATGTTTTTTGAAACTACGGCTGCTATTTTCCTCACTCATTCAACCTTAAAGGGAGCAGAAGTCAGAGAACAAAACAGAACCTGACCTAAACCGGTGCAAGTTTGTCTGATCTAAAAGGAGTACGGCAGAATTCAGTGTTGAGTATGAAACAGATGGGATTACTCCTTTGCTTCCTTTTTGAGGAGAAAATTACAGCGCCGCAGTGTGCTCTGTGAGAGAAGCAGCTCGATTTCTGTCGTACGGAGGTTCCTCAAATAGAATAGGAGAGCTGAAGCATTCCCGGAGGACTGACGTTGTTGTCTGATGTCGGAGAAAAATCCCAGAACTCTCTCAGACAGATTTGATCCTCTTCAGTCTAGGTCAGCTCAGAATAAATGCTGTTTAATTTTTGTTGTAATTAATTTTTTACCCAAAAAGATACCTTATTGGTTTTGGGTTATTCAGGTTGGTATTACTAGAACGGTACACCAAAAATCATTAAGAAAACAAGCTTTTCTTTTAAGTATTTTGCAGCAACAGCAGATTGCACTGAACACAGAGTGAACAATGGATCAGGTTTTTTCGGATTTTCCCCCATTTTCAGCCCTCTCATTCACTTTACGTAAAACAAACCAAGCATGAACGCAGTTAATACACACTACTGATTTCTGGATAAAAAAGCAGCCAAGCTGCACTCAGTTATTGAAGACACAATTCTCTAACAAAAGGCTTTGTTTCAGGCAACGTCTGCATCTCTGTGCCCAATTCACTCACACAGATAGACTGTATCAAAAAATGACATTCTGCCTAAAATGGGAAAAGTTTCACTTTTTCACAGGCTCATTATGGATTGCCCTCAAGTATATGACATAGGAATTCTAAATGCCTCAGTGAGATGAATGAGCGAGGATTCTCTGTTGGAGAGTTTCTGTGGGAAAAAAAGTAATTTGACAGACTTCCCTCCTGGTTACTTTCTTTTGAGGAGATCCTGCTCTAAATTTACCGCTCCTCTGCCCTAACAACTGCAGCTTGGTAAATATTTCACAGAGTATCCGCTCTCAGACATAAAAGGTTTGATTGGTGCTCCTGGAGATGACTGAAGACTGTTGCACACCAGAGCCGCTTGCAGTGTTTCAGCACAGAAAATAGTTTACTTTACTGTGCCCTAGCTGGTAGCCTAGCGGAAGTAATGGGATTCTACATTAGCACGGGCACACTGTTTGTCAGTCGCAGGGTAATCCCCTAGGGCTGCTGGGACTGTGGATATGTCCCAAATCCTCTCCAGAGATATGAAAAAGCACACTCTAAACTCTCTATGTGTGTCACTGTTACTGTTTAGTGTGCGGCGAGTTCTGGGAGGTGATTATAATCCGTTGCCACTGTTTCTTTTGCAAGATTATGTGCTTCCTCTGAGGTGTGAGGTGGTTTTAAATATGTTATGCATTTTGTAAAATATGCTAGAATTTCATATTTATTTTTGCACAATGCTATAAAATGATGTTCCTTTAAGCTGCTGTGATAAATATTTCACTTAACAACGGATTAAATGTGAGAGCGGTCGCTTGTTGTGATGAAACCACAGAGAATTATCACCTGATTTTGTAGTTCTGTTTCAGCTTTACTGAGCTTTTTAGTATCTTTAAGCTCACTGTTTTGGTTTTATTTTACTGTTTTGAGTCACTAAAACAGCTTTCAGACAGTTATTGCAGTTTTAACAATTCTTCACTGATTTATTCATATTGTGCATATTTTTATGTGTTTACTTAGTATTATTAGTTGTATAAACCTAATTTTGCCTGGTTCCTTATTATACACTGTTCATGTGGTGCTGTATCCTATCACTGGCTCTCTGGGGTCAGAAGAGTTTAATCCCTTTATGTCAAAATGAACAAGATAAAACCAACCGGAGCTCCCACAGATGTTTGCGTCAACTCATCCTGCTCACGACAAGCAGGAAGCGATGTAATGGAGTGTTAAAATGCGTGCTGTCTTATCCAACTTGGCAGTTGTTTGTCTCCAAAGGATGGTGAGAGGATTTTTTTACAGCTCTGCTTTCTAAAGGGCTGCAGATGAGTCATAGAATTGTGGAGAGCTGCCCTCCACCCCCCACAGGCACACAAATATCACCCCAAATAAGCACCACAAGCACCTTCCTCATTATTGAATAATGCATTCAGAGAGGAGTGTTGCATTACTGGGTTTCCGTTATGTATTCCTAAGAATTCCCACAGCATGGAGTGTACCCATCTCAGGATCTGCCTTGTATCTATTTGGCATCGCTCGCTTGGATGTGTTCAGCCCTCCCGTAAAGCCTAAGTAAATTTTAAGTGAGGGGTGTTAACTAGGCAGAGCAGTGGTTGAAGGGATTGGGGGTTGAATACACAGTAGTTGTTATGTAATATTCAGTGAGCCCAACTAATCTAAGCCAAGGGATCTGTAAGAAGGACTCAGTAATAGTGTTGATATGGTTTAAATGGGAACCACAAAGTCACTGTCAAGGCGTCTGATATGTGATGTCACTTATATCCAATACCAAATTTAACGAACAGCAATGCGTTAAAACATTGTGAATACATTTTTGATTGAAATGAGGGATGCATATTTGGCTTTGTTTCTGCTCTTGTGTCTCATGGTCGTCTGTGCCATCAGTCGTCCACTCAAGCTGCCACGGGCGACAAAATAATGGCACTTGTCTAAAATAAATAATGGATGTTTCACTTGTTGTCATTGCAACGCTGACAAATTCTTATACGAGTGGCATGTAGGTCACATGCTGCAAGTGACCATCGAATTATACATGTGGTCCAGATAGGAAATGAAAAAAAAAAATTGTGACTCCGTGTAGCTTTTTAAGCTGATTAGAGAACATCAGATCTGTGTCAGATGTGTGAGGGGGTCGGGAGTGGTGCAGCGGGAATATAATCGAGTGCTCTTAGCTGCAGTGCAATTGTAGCCTGAATGCCCCTTCTAATTTATTCTGATCTAAATCAATACCTCTTTCACTGTGTGTTGTCATTTGTTAACAATCTACAGTTTTCAGCAGTACCCCATTTTCTTAGCTTGCAGCTAACTGAAAATTTAGACTACTATTTTGTATTAGCAAATATGTTTTTGTTGCTGTGCTGTGTATGAGCACAGTTTTAAAAAGCACTGGAATTGATTTTGGCATAAAGCATGTTTGACACACAAACAAAGTTGTTTAATTATTGCCTGTCCTTTAATCTGAATGTAACATAATATTAAGTACAGATTGTACACAGTCACATGGCATTTGTAACAGGCACAAAACTGCTTTATAAATGTGTAAACAGAGATCGGACCTCGAGTCGTATAAACTAAACATCTAAAAGTGGAAAGTCCTGAGAAAACGGAGCTGAATTTGACGTCCACAGTGCTGATAGCATCGTATCACTGATGGACAACGAGACGAATTGGCCAGTGCTCCCTAAAGCTTTTTATCTTGAGATTAACAATAGAGACGGAAAACAGAAAAACAGCCAGGAGTGACAAATATACAGCTATCATCAATGACGCATTTGATGCTGATGAAGGCTGTGGGCTTACAGCCAAAACACATTGAGATGTACACACAGATTGATCATTTTGTGAGGATAGTGGCTATTTTCCCAGTTTTGTACAAACCTTTCACACATCATTTTATCTTTATTTCTCTGACACCTCCAGCTGCTATTTGAAACTACTGAGCTGCCCTTTGATTGATAGCTCCCTCTCTACCTGCTAAGCTCCTCCAAAGCCCAAAACAGCAAAACAAAAAGCTAATGGTCCTCCAGGACGGAGTGGACATGTATTTTGATGCTACTACACTGCAGTTTCATCTCAGTGAAGACAGGCAGCAGATTTCTGTTCTTCAGCAGAGTGTCTGGGTGCATTATATGTGAGAGTTATTATCCTTGTTTCCTTGAAGATGAACCTACTGTGCTGGACAAGGTATTAAATGTTTTTTTAGAGAAAACATCAATGTAGCTTAAACTGCTTTTCGTCCTATGAAGAAAATCAGCCTGGAGGTTAGTAGTGATAATTATTTTGTGTCGTTTCCTCACAGATATCTGGGGATCACACGGCCCCTCACCTACCCAGCCCGGCAGAACGGTCAGCTAATGGCGAAGATGATCCTGGGAGTGTGGCTGGCGTCAGCATCCATCACCCTGCCACCATTCTGTGGCTGGGCCAAAAACGTCCACACAGCCGGTGTGTGCCTCATTAGCCAAGACTTTGGCTACACCATCTATTCCACAGCTGTAGCCTTCTACATCCCTATGCTGGTCATGCTGGTCATGTACTACAAGATATTCAGGGCAGCTCGCAAGAGTGGCGCCAAGCACCGCTTCACCGACCTTTCGCGCCGCGAGCGCCTCGAAACAGTAACTAATGAGGCGCTGCGAATGCAGGGCCTGAAGCCGCTCGGTGTGGTGGAGGAGTGCGCGGCCTTGTCCCGCCTGCTGAACCGTGAGCGCAGGAACATCTCCATCTTCAAGAGGGAGCAGAAAGCAGCGACAACACTGGGGGTGATCGTGGGGGTCTTCGCTGTGTGCTGGCTGCCGTTCTTCATCCTGTCCACTGCCAGGCCCTTTATCTGTGGAGTGGAGTGTAGTTGTGTGCCCATCTGGCTGGAGCGCACGCTGCTCTGGTTAGGCTACGCCAACTCCTTAATGAACCCCTTCATCTACGCCTTCTTCAACCGAGACCTGCGCTCCACTTATCGTGACCTTCTCCGCTGTCGTTATCGCAACATCAACCGCAGACTGTCTGCTGTGGGCGTGCATGAGGCTCTCAAGGTTTAAAGCAGGGTACTTCAGCATCATATATCGAATCTCAAAAAGAGGGGTATGGCAGCCCTGTGCTTGTGCACTTGGTGCTTACAAGGCAACATGTAGCCTTCACAGCAGGCCTGTAGATAAGACAAAGACTGGCGAAATGGGAGTCACTGATGGTGGCACTTTGGCCCCTCCGCAAAGGCAGAGAGACAGCGCAATCACTTAATTTTGTGTGTGACTCAGTCATTCTATTTTGGGAAAGAAAATCACAGAGCGTACTTGATGGGCTATTCAAGTCGACACTGCTTTTGTGCATATGCCACAATTCCGTCCTGGCTCGGGATTCATGGAAGGATAATGTAGTGACAAAGAAAATTACACGTAAACACAATCAATCATCCTAGGGCTTTCAGAGGAAACAAAAAGTAAACAGATTTTTGTATATTTACAAAATTGATGTTTGATTAGGAAAAAACATTTGTTATGTGGCACATATCTTTTGAACATCTTCATCTAAACACGCATTTGAGTACGATTAAGTAAGTAAGATTAATTTCAAACAGAGAGTGAACACTGAGGTTCATTGTGCTTTGTGCCAGGATTAAAATATTTTTATATCACTTAATCTCCAGTCATACTTTTCAATTTGTCCTCTCACTAAATTTAACAGGAGCACCTTAAATCTTTCACAAATGTTTAAAGTGTGATGATGATGAGGGAATGAAGGTGGGTGGAAAATCGTGTTAAAATGAAACATGAAGGGAAAATTTCCATTTTATTTCATTGTTTGCTGCTAAAAAATAAACTGAAAGTAGTTTGCTTAGTGTCTGCATGAAACATATGTGTCTTACATGCCACTGTATACATAAATCATAAGAGATTCTGAAGTGAAAGACAGTTTGGCAGAAGTGTTTTCTTGTTTCACCCAAACACTTGATCGCACACTTGAATTGAAACTGAACTCAATACTGTATATGTCAGAAACCATGATACTGTGGACATCCTCACTCGTTATTTTTGCCTTGATCAGTTTCATTCCACATTTAGCAGTTGATAATACATCTAACTAGACCTGTTGAACTCTGCAGTTTCCTTTTAAGAATTGACATGTTCTTGACACTCACCTGCCCTACTTGTCAACAGTGTTTCTATCTAAATTTTGAATCAGGATGTGGTCATCTCCCTCATGACGTCTCTCTCGTTTAAACTCTTTGGTGACTTGTATGAACCTGTGTCAAATGTCATCAGTCGAGCAGTGCGTGCTTTTTCTACCTCGATTTTGGAGATTTCTGTACATTTCCTCCAAACAGATGTACCGCTGTCTTGCATAATTTTGTAATTGTGTAATTTTATATCGTGTAAGATCAATCTGTCTACAACTGTGCTGTGATCGCTCTTTTCGACTGCTTTGTCATTTCAGAAACAAGCTGGGAAGTGGCAAAGCATGTCATCACTTTGTAAATAAAGTAACACTTGGTTCAAATCTCACTGTGGCCTAGGTTGGGGAGATGATTTACATTAATGCACACGTAACTGGTTCAGCGAATCAAAATTAATTTTCAAAGAGTGGACAATCTACACAGGTCTCCTTGCTTTCTAGTCCCACAGAGCTTATCTTTATCAAAAGCCACAGTTTGTTGTACAAAATTCATTATCCTTGCTGACTAGACTGGTATATAATGAAAAATAAAGACCCACCTTAAGGCCTGCTAGAAGCCTTTGAAACAAGAATTAGCACCAAGGCTGTCATGCTACTAAAGGACTCTGGAGACTTGTATGAGGATGGTGACTCAAAAAGATGCTTTTATGCTCTGTCTGCTAAGAGCAGTCTTTCATTCACAGTGGGCAACATCTGTCTGCTTGATTTCATGACGGAAATTGTCCTGTAAAGACACAAAGACGAGGAAGAGTCTGATGTGTGCGAAGTGTCGCGGTCAGAAGGTGTGTAGTTCAAATACTCCATTCCAACTCGTGAGGAATAAGAGTGAGTAAGCAGCCGACCTAGAGCCGGTTCCGTTGCACCGGAGAAAATGCGCCTGGCGAGGGTCAGCCAGCTCTGGGGAGAGGTCCCACTAGGGGATCACCCACACCCAGGCAAGCAGCGGTCCCTGACCCCCCGAGTTTAATTCCCCGGGCAGACATTATGAAATTGTGGCAAACTGGATGTCCGGCTGAATTTCACATCATTTTGATTTAATTTGAATTAGTCAACACAATGATTGATCATGATTTATTAAGGTCCAACATGTTAGATGCGTAGTTAGAAGCCCTGGACATAGACATTATCGTCAACATTCTATGATCATACGACTTAGCTTAGACGTAACCACTTTATTATCATAACACCTGAAAGTGGGTGCACAAAAAGCTTTGTTGTCTCCCCTATTCTGGCACCAGTGCTGAGAGGAACTACAGAGTTGAGTGAGACTTATTTGTGGGTTCGTCACTACAAGGGATCCCTTTCACAAAACACGTAGTCATTTGATCCATTGTTATCATAAACATATTGATTAAAGCGACTTTCACATGCTGATGTAGGCATAGTTCAAAACATGGAAGGTCAGATGTTCCATGTAAAATCAGATACATTTTATTGTAATTCAGTAGAGACATGTCAGGCATTTTGTTGCTGAATAGATCTGATGGTTTGAATATAAACACTTGGGTAAATATAATGTCAACAAAAAAGTGTATTTGGCCAATTTTTGCATGTTGTTGGGACTGTTCTCAATTAGAGCATAAGGACTTTTCTAATTATAATTGTCATTGTCACCATGAGTATCACTCCAAGTCCACTAAACATCGTTACATAATTCAGCGCTAATTCAACAAACAAAAACCCAAATCAGAGTCCCAGGGACAAAATTTGTTTAAACGGGATGTTGTGGCCTAATGTGTGTCTATTTGGGGCATACAGTACAAATGCTTGACACTTCCTAAAATAAGTTAGTAAATAAAGAGCATGAACTTGGCCCCAACAAGCGTGTTACCACATTTTGTTTCAGCACATGAAATAGCAGGCAGACGTTGAGCATCTCCCCTAAGACGTCCAGTCTCCCAGCAGCCATGTCAACAGGCGTTACTCTCGGGGAATGAGCACCATTTTGCCTGACAGGAGGGGATGCTCTCTCAGTCAGCGTGGCTCGCCTCCTGCGCTAGTTCCTGATATGTGTCATCACTATCAGTGAACAAGAGGAGATTGCAAAATGTATATTTGTGATGTAGTAAATTCATCAAAAGGGGGGGGGTTGGGTAGTAGCAGATGAGTCTTTTGCATATGCTGCCCACAGGCTCAGTTGCCAGCTCTGACAGACTGTGGAGGCTGATGGGGGGGGGAGAAATACACTCTTGCTTTGCTATTTTTAATCTGCCCCAGAAATTAAGCGGGGAAGCTTTGATCAAGCATGGAGAAAGAGATCCAAAGCGCTACAATTTTACTATCTTGCAATGTGTCCCTTACACCCCCGTATGTAAACACTGCGATGAGGAAAGAGTCTTTGTTTGATGGTTCCTGCAGCAGTTACACTGTGTTGACCAGCAAAAGATAAAGGCAATCATTTGCCACATTTTCCCACAAATAAACTCTTTTCCACTTCACTAATCTCTACTGTTGACTTTTTTGGAGAAGTGAAACTATCTGTCCATATTTTACGAATGATATATACTGTAAAATCTATAATCAATATGATGTGTATATGAACACACAGTATTTATCTAACTTGTCATGATACAGATTTCATTCAAGTTTATGCTTATTTGGTACGTCGTAGTTTAATATCTCGTGTGTTGCCTATGACACAAACAACACATATGGACCACATGTTTTATATTTGATGACATGTCAGGTGTAAAAAAAGACGAAGCATGGCCTATTCAACTACTATATACAAAACATTTTATGTAGTATAAGTCTGATCCTGTATGAAATCTGTATGAAAGAGTGTGTATGCATTAAAATTAACAATATGTTCATCATGTACAGACTTTGGAGTACATTGTTCATTCTGTAGCATATGGCAGTGATCTCCAAGGGTGTTGCGAGATGAATCTAGTGGGTCATGAGATGATAACCCAGGTAGGAAATAATTCAAATAAAACAAATATATATAAAACAAATATTCTAAAATCCTAATGTCAGTGGTAGCTGTTTCTGGACACTTTTGGACATAGATATCATATAAGGTGATGACAGTTAAACTCATATTTACCATGAAGCTGGTCTGTGACACTGTGAACGGCTGGTTGACAGCTTACTTGTATTGTACTGTGAAGTCTTGATTTGTTACATCCTGTGGGCACACAAAATGTAATTTAGGCATACATGACGCTCTTCTCTTGGAACACATGACTTCAGCTTTAAAATGCTTGCATATTTACATAATTTGTATTACACTGTGTTAAAAATATTTCCCTATTTTTACACATCAAAGCTGTCATTCATTTAATCTCAGTTGCAACAAATATTTCAATTACCTACGCCTTATCAAGGTCGCCGTAAATTAATTTCAAGCAAAGAAGGATGTAAATCAGATTTGTAAGGTAGTGTGGGCACATGTATATCCATCAGTTATGTCCTCAAATGTACTTGGACCGTGCATTTAGCGTTGTTCCCTACTTTCTAATCAAATGGAAGCTATAAATACCACAGTAAACATGTCAATTATGTGTTAATCCAATTTATGTGGCGTGTCCTGAAATATCAACTTCCTCCCACGGTCACCACCAGAGGCCGATCACAGCACAAGAGTTTGCTATTAGTCTATGCCACTTCCTGCGGGGATAGGCCTGGAAGTTATCTACAAAGTGACAGCAAAAATACTTTCTTTCCCCTCATTTTATTTTCCGTAGGCAGCTTCCTGTAATTAGGTTCTGTCATACTGCTGGAAGGTAAATGCATGCTTTTAAGGTTGCCAGCATCAAAGGAACTGTACATGAGGGCACCCGCCCCTGTACACTTCAAAGTGAATACAGTAGATCTCTGCCTACTTACATTTTATTGATTTTATTGCCATGTATGTCTTGTTTTACTCAAGCTGTGGAGTATCTGAGTGTCGACTCATTGCCTTGTATTTTCACACAAGTTCACAATCCAGACTGCCAAGAATCACAGTCCTCCTACACAGCGAGTATGGGATGAGTCTGTCTATTGTGTTGCTCTGCATCTGTGATTCAGATCTGTAATGTGTGTGTGTGTAGGTGTGTGTGTGTGTGTGAGAGAGAAAGAGCAATAGAAAGCCACCCATATGTTCTCGTATTGCTGTCTCCATATTCACTCAATATGTTTAGTATATCAGATTAGTTGCACTTAAATTCATCATGATTTTGTGGAGCTTATTGTGCATGAATTAAAAACACCAATGCACATCAATGTTTGAAGTTACTTTCACAGTCCTTATTATTGATATTTCCATTAAATTACATAAAATCTGACTTATTCATTAACTAGAAACTTTAAAGAGGCATATCTCATGCCCTTAAAAAGGATGCGGCAGAGCGTAAGGCATCTTGTAAACAAGATTTTTCAGTCAGACCTTTAATAAGCTCCTGCTGTTAGATTTCCCAGAAATTATAACTCCCACGTGATGCAACTGCCTGGCTCAAAACACTGGGATGGTAATATAATCTGCCACATACATGTCCAAAAATACTGTATTATTATTATCCAAAAAATACTAATACCAAACATCTACATTAGATACTACCTGTGTATTTAATATTAGAATTTTGATTGTAATCTCTTTGTCTTTAATGTAAAATGACCACCTTATTAAAATGTACAGATATTATCAGCCATTATTTTGTTCAACTCAAAATAGCATTTTCTGAGGATTTTTATTAATCTTGCAAACCTAATCTATAGTTTTTCCTCAAAGGCATACTACGTTTTACCAATCTATAAAGTGTAGTTGGAGCCTTCAATTCCCATAATGCAACTCAAGCGTTTTTCATGACTGTTATTTTTTTCCAACTTTGGAAAGCTGCCTCCGGAGTCACAGACGACATTACACAACTGTTTTCACAGGCTGAATAGTTATCCCCGAGTAAGCTGAATTTCAAGTGTAAAATTGGTGGAGTGCCCCTTTCAACCTTGTGTGCAGTACACACTAGTTGTCCATCATTTTCTCCATATGACTCACACATTGTCACCAAGGCAGGTCAGCCTCTTGTTACCTGCTCAACTAATGTGATTGCTTTTTCTCTATAAATATATAGGGCCAATACAAAGAACAGCAGTCTGAAGAGAAAAGAACATTATTTGTCGTTAAGTGTGGTCGAGATGGAAACTAAATTGCTCAGCTTGCCTATGTCAGTTTGTTCAGGCTCTGGCGCTGCAGCAGTGTCAAGTGAGGACTGACAGCAGTTGGTCTGTGAGTGTAGACTCAAGTACACTCAGGTGTTCCTGCGCTGTCTAAGCCAGTTACAGCAGCAGTCAATCTGTACCTGCCTCTTGTCACTGCACATTGTTACTGATCGGTGGGACCGAGTCAGTGCAAGGATTTCTCATCCTGACACTTTGTCTGACTGCTCTCAAATCTCAGTTCCGTTTGCTGCTGTCGACTCCCACAGTGCACTGCCCCACGGTCACTCAGGTTGCTGATGGTGATGATGAGGAGCAAGAACAAGACAAGCTGAAGGACTTTCTCAAAGGTCTTTCTCTTCATCAAATCTCTGGTTATGTGTTGGCCGTTAAAATTGAAGCTTGAAGAAATAATCCCATACATTTTTTACTTGGTCTGTTTCGTTTCTCGAGATTTCTACCTAAATCCGAATCATGATCGGAGTATTGTGTGTGTTTATTAAAGCTACTATATATCAGCAGTTCCAAACACCCAGAAGTGATCTGAAAGGAAGTGATGCATTTGATGTTCCTGGTTTGCTGCAAAGGCATGTCTCTGTGAGGCTGTACTAACATGTTTACTCTGACTGTGTAGAGAAAGTGTCATGTTAGCA